TTGAGGAGAGAGGAGGAAAGTGTACTGCAGAGGGCTGAAAGAGCTATGGTGAGGATGATGTGTGGGGTTAAAGTGAAGGATAGGAGGAGTAGTACAGAGCTGATGTCAATGATGGGACTGAATGAGGACATTGTGACATTGATAAGGAGATCGAGATTGCGGTGGTATGGACATGTGTTGAGAAGGGATGAAAGGGTCGGGATTAGGCGAGCGTTGGAGTTCGAGGTTGAAGGAGTGGTAGGAAGGGGTCGTCCGCGGTTGGGATGGAGAGAGCAGGTGGAGAAGGACAGGGTGAAAGCGGGGTTGCGTGGTACTGAGGCGAGTGACAGATGTGGATGGAGTCGAGGGGTATTTCGGTTTCATCATAGGTAGCCAAACGGCAACCCCCGATCTCGGGGAAAATGCCGTCTAAACGTGTGTTGTTGTTGTTGTTATTGTCGTTTGTATTTTCATTGTTAAGTTGCTGTTCTTTGCGGTGAACTATTTTCTTTATTTTTGATAGTTTGCATCAATTATTAATTAGAAGATTGGTAACTCGTTGGAGTTCTTTTTCTCTATCTTCAGCTTTTGATGAGTGAGTATACGCCCTGTTGACGAAGGCACTGATCGTACTGGTTAGGAATGTTTCAGTGCACTCACTAATCCCATTGAGACAGAGTCCTTTGTTCGTTCCAACTTAACAATATTTATTACAAATTTGTATTTAATTATTTTATCGATCATTGATGTGCATTATCCATTGTTTATCAAGAGGTTTGTGACTTTTTTCAAATCTTCATTACGTTTTTTTGTTGATGATTAGTGAAGGCGCGGTTGTCGAACGCTCTTGTTGTGCTGATTCTAAATTGTTTAGAGCATTCGCTTTTTCCATTAAGGCAAATGCCTTTATTTGTAATTTTTACGTAGACTGCAGTTTTAAAGCAATATATATTGCGGATGTCGAAGACTTAAAAAGAAAGGGTAGGAATTTTGTGTATATATATATAAAGATATATATATTGAAAAAATGAGTAAGAATATAGAGGAGAATAGTTGATGACAGATCGATTATTCTCACACTCAACACACACACACATACACACACACACACACACACACATATATATATATATATATATATATATATATATATATTATCAAACACTTATAAAGCGCCTATTAAAATAAATATCTCTCACAAGCGCTATCGAAAAAAGAAAAATAATAAACGAACAGTGAAATAATGTACATCCTATCAATAGACGATATGATACAATCAATTACAATCGTTCATCGCAAATAGATAAGTTTTCAAATTCTTTTTGAAATCAACAATGTTCATCTTTGACATTCTCATCGACATTGGCAGACTATTCCAGACGATTGGTCCCGACACTGCAATGTCTCTAGACGATGTCTGCAGCTGCGTAGTTGGTACAATCAACAAATTGACGTCATCTGATCGCATGCGTCTTCCAGTCGAAGACAGCGGCTTCTTTATGAATCTATCAGCCAGGTATTCTGGGAGTTGTCCGTTTATGGCCTTGTACATAATGACGCATATTTTGTAAAAAATTCGTTTCTTCACTGTTAGCCAATGGAGGCTATTCAGAATTGGCGTCACATGATCGTATTTTCTGCCTCTAACAATCACCTTTGCAGCTCTGTTCTGAATAGACTGGAAGTCAGCGATAGACCTTTCTGGCAACCCATAAAACAGACTGTTGCAATAATCCAATCTCGAGTAGACAAACGCATGAACCAATGATTGTGTTACAGTTTGATCCAGATATTTTCTTATTCGGTATATTTGTTGAAGTTGTGCTGAACATGATTTAGATTGTGATTTTATGTGGTCACAAAGTTTTAGTTTAGTGTCAAAAATACATCCCAAATTGGTAGCCTTCTTGCAAAATTTTATCTCATTATCTTCAATCATTATTGAATCAATTTTACTTTTGATAGCTGCTGCCAGGTGCCCACTGGTAAAAACTGTGATTTATTTTGATTAAGTTTGAGACAATTTTTTGACATCCATGTGTCAATTTCAGCCAAACATTTTATTAGTCTTTCAACTGCACTTTCGAACTGATCTGGTTTACTGCTGACTATTATTTGAATGTCGTCGGCATATGCATGATAAGAAAAACCAAAAGTATCAATTACATTAAATACATCAGCTGTATACAGTATGAACAAAATAGGTCCAAGTATTGAACCTTGTGGCACTCCGGATGACTTTGTTTTTACTCTAGACAGATGCTCTTTGAAAAATACCTGTTGAGTCCTTCCAGTCAAATAGGAGTCGAACCACTTGATAACAGTTCCAGCAATGCCAAAGTCGTGAATTAATCTGTTTAATAGAATTTGATGATCGACACAGTCAAACGCTGCACTCATGTCCAAAAATGCGTGTAGAGCAATATTCTGTTTGTCGATGGAGGCAAATAATTCGGACAAGACATATAACAATGCCGTCTCTGTAGAATGGTAACGTTTATATCCAGATTGATGAATCAGGAACAAATTATGTTTATTTAAATGATTTACAAGTTCACCTACTACGACACGTTCTATGATTTTGGAGATGAAACAAATGTTAGATTTTGGTCTGTAGTTTCCGAGCTCATTAAAATCTGCGTTTGTTTTTTTCAAGATGGGTATCACAACCGCATGCTTGCAAGAAACAGGAAGTGCTCCAGCACACAATCATAAATTAACTAAACTTGTGAGAAACGAGATGAAGAGGTCTATATGTTTTTTCAAAATGTGAGTAGGAAGGATGTCTAACATGCAAGATTTAGATGGCAGATTAAGAACAATTTTTTTTACATCTTCTGAAACCACTGCAAAATTTGAAAACAAAGAGCCACTGTTTAATTTACATTTATCAAAAACTGGTTTGTCAACTACTTTGGCGTCTCGTTTTATTTTGTTGATTTTTTCTTCAAAATGATCAATAAATTGAGAACAAGTGATGTCTACATGTTCCTGAGACGATTCATTATCATAATTTTTGCAAATGATTTTATTAATTACTTTCCACAAATTTTTAGGGTTTCCGTCGTTTTCCTTTATCAGTGTTTTCCAATAACAATTTCTTTTTTTTAGAAAAACATTTAGTTTTATTTCGCAAAGCAGCAATCCACTCACTCCGACAGGCTGATGATAAATATTTTCTATATTTCCTTTCTTTCTGTCGACAAAGTTTTTTAACTGCTCTGCATTCATCATCAAACCAAGGAGTTATCAAATCGCATCTGTGTTCTATAAAGTGAAGAGGCGCAACTTTATCAACAATTTTCTTCATCTCATCATTGAAAAGTTCAAATTCAAAATTTACGTCGTGACTTTGACATGGCTTTGACAACGGAGAATTTGCAACATACGAAAAAAACAGATTTTCATCAAGTTTTCTCCACGCACGATCTAGCTAATCTGCGAACTTTTTTAAGACATATTCGTTTAATTGGTATGCTAACATGTATCAAACTGTGGTCGGAGTACACACCACTAGGAAATATATCTTACTAATTAAAACATGAAAATTTTCAGAACAAACAACCATGTATATATGTATACAATATACATACTTTTTCGCTACGTTGGGTTTAACCGTATTTGATTTTCTCTGCGTTTTTGTGATTCTTTAGATATTTATACCGAGGTTATAGTGTTAATTTTTGACTCCTTTTAAAGCATAAATTAAGAGGAGTATTACCGTATTTTTATTTTTTGAATGAGTTAACAATTTGATTAAATAATTTAATTTAGAATTAACTTGTATTGTTTTATAGTTTTTTTTAAACAAGTTGAATATAAATTGTTGTCGTCAACGCATAAGTAGTGTTGTGTACGAACATTAACTTAGTTTCTAACGTTCAATATCATAAATTGAAAGTTAAACTGTTTTTGGTAAAAATGAACAAAAATAAATGTTTGCAATGTTCAGAGGCAAAAGGTCAGGGGAAGGCTGTCAAATGTTCTCAGTGTGAGTACTTTGCGCATGCAAACTGTGTTTCAATCCCTGAAGAAGTTTGCAACCTTTTGGATTCCAGTACCAACCTTAGATGGTTCTGTGATAGATGCTCAAGTCTGGGACCTAACATTAAAAAGTTGACCAGCTTTGTCGATTTTCTCTGAAAAGATGTTTTCAACAAACTCAACACATTGAACGATTTGAATGCAAATATAAAGTCAGAGCTTGAGAATATCAACGCAACATTAGAAAGTAATAGAGAAAAGTTAAACCAGCTTGAGAGCACTGATGTTTTTCGTGGTGAATTGAACATCTTGAAGAATGATATGAAAGTATTTTTTGCAGATATCGTCAGTCGCGGGCTTAAAGGGCACGCTGATGATATCAAGGCCGAAGTCAAAACAGTCCAGACGACAATAAATGATGCTAAACAAATCAAAGAAAGAGAAAACAATCTAATTATGTTTCATTTGCTTGAGAGCGACGGTGACCGGGTGGGCGTCATGAAGACTCTGAAACACCTGTCTAATAATGTTGTTTATGCTAACCTAGTCCATCTAACTAGACTCGGAAAAAAACCAGACGATCATACCCGACCGCTGTTGTTGAAAATGGATAATGTTGACATAAAAAACATGATAATTAAAAATGTCTCTAAATTAAAATCGCTTGACGTCAGCCTGGGTTGCGTCGGACTCAGTCACGATCTCTTCCCAGAGCAGAGAAAGGAACTGAGGTCAAGGATAGAGGAAGCAAGGGCATTAGAAGCTTTTGACAAGGGTTTTTTATACTATGTAAGAGGCCAGGTTGGCAAATGAAGAGTGGTGAAATTTCATTCTTCAAGATGTTCAATTCACCACGAAAAACATCAGTGTCCTCAAGCTGGTTTAACTTAGTAGGTAGTAACAATGTAATGAAAGGTGGTGCTGTTGGCTTTAATAATCGTAAAAAGGTAGGTGTTAACCGGGGACTTTAATGTTCACGTTGAAAAGACGAATGATCCTTATGCTGCTAATTTAAATGATATCTTCGATAATTTTCAACTCATCAATCATGTAAAAGCCCCAACACATCTACGTGGTGGTACACTAGACTTGATAGTGGCCTCCGAGGATTTTCCAGCTCATGACTGTTTAGTCCATCCAAGTGGAATTTATTCTAATCATAGTTTTATTTGGGCTGAACTGTCGATGACTCGAGAATATTTGGTTGAAATTAAAAAAGTTTTTAAAATATGGAATCAGATGAATGTTGATGACTTTATCAAACTCGTGCTTGAATCTCCATTCTTCAAATCATGTCAAAGCAATAAGGTAGACAAAGAATTGCATTTATTTAATAACGAGTTAAAATCTATTGCCGATAAAGTTGTACCTATTCGTGCAGTGACCGCCAATAACCTTTGTATGGCTCCGTGGTATGATAATGATTGCAGGTAGGCCAAGCGTTTGTGCAGAAAAATGGAAAGAAGGTTCAGAAAAAGTTTACAGTTGATTCATCAAAATGAATGGAAAACTGCTTTGAGGAGTAAATCGGAACTTGTTGATGAAACCAACAAATTTTTGGCGGGTTCTGAACAGCATTCTCTGTAGGGGTCGTAACGATAAATCCTGCTCGGATATGGATGATCTAACATCTGATCGATTTATGTGCTATTTTAATGAAAAGTTAAGCAAGCTGAGAGATAGTGTCAACAGCGATGCTCAACAGAGCCTGGCAGAATTCCAATCAGGTGTCAATAATAATCTGTTCTTAACGTTTTCTATGGTTTCTTATGAGGAGGTAATACAGTTCGTTCAAAATTTACCTACAAAGTCGTGTCAACAAGATGTAATACCTACCCACGTATTAAAGAAATTTATAAAACTATTTGCACATTTTTGGCAGGCCTGATAAACAGCAGTTTGAATGTGGGACAGGTTCCCTCTGGCTGCAAGCATGCTATCATAACTCCGCTGCTGAAAAAACATAATCTAGACGAAAATGATGTTGGGAATTACAGACCAATTTCCAATCTGTCTTTCCTATCCAAAATTATCAAACGTGTGGTTGTCAGGCAAACACTCAGTTACTTGAACAATATCAATTTAATGCCGAAATTATAATCTGGATTCCGTCAGTACCATTCGACTGAAACTGCTCTTTTGCAAGTTATCTCAGAAGTGTACGGGGCAATTGATGAACAAAATGTGGCAATGCTAGTCTTTCTTGATATGTCATCTGCATTTGATTGCGTAAATCACAAAGTACTTTTAACAAGAGTACGTTGCAGTTTTGGAATCTCTGGTGGTTTGAGTCGTATCTGGTAGGTAGATCACAACAGGTATCATTTGGTGGTAAATTGTCTGAGGTTAATGTTATGTTGTCTGGTGTGCCACAAGGTTCGGTTCTAGGGCCTATTCTATTCATCTATACATCTGAAGTACTAAAGATAATAGAATCATTTGGTTTCTCAGATCATGCTTTTGCGGACGACTTACAAATTATTGTTACGAGCAGACCATGACAATTGTATCTTTATATATTTAGTATCTTCTGGACGGCAATTAAATAAACGGAGATATCGTAACGCACATTTGTGTTGAATTGAATTTATATTAAATAAAACATATAAAACATCACATGGCGCAGTCGACAATTGTTTAAATATAGTAAAAATAAATGTTTAAACCATAGTATAAGTTTTATCAATAAAATAATGACTGACGTTTTTAAAGGTTTTCAACCGCCTCCGGCGTTGAACTTTGATCAAGGCAATGTTGAAGAGAGTTGGAAAGTATGGATACAGAGATTTGAGCTATTTCTTTTTGCTTCTCGATCGGACCAGCTTCCAGAAAAGGTACAAGTTGCGATGTTTCTGAGTTGGATTAGTGATGAGGGACTTTACATTTTCAATTCATTCACTTTTGATCCGCCAGAGGACAAAAATAAAATATTTGCAGTAAAAGCAAAATTTGAAGAGTATTGCTCACCACGTAAAAACGTTGTTTTTGAAAGGTACCAGTTTTGGAAAATCTCACAAGCCAGTAGATTCATTTGTAACCACGCTATGTCTCCGAGCCAAATCATGTAAATTTGGTGAACAGGAGGAGTCATTGATTTGTGACAGAGTAGTTTTGGGTTGTGCTGATGCACGTCTTCAGGTAAAATTGTTGAGAGAACCGGAATTGTCTCTCACAAAGGCACTTCAGTTATGCAGAGCTGCTGAGGTTACTCGAAAACAATTAAAAACCATAAAAGGTGACGAGTTACCAGCAACAATAAACTCTGTGAGGTCTGGCAAAAATAAAGACCAAAATAATGGCAAAATGAACAAACATGGCTGTGGAAGATGCGGCACAATTTATCCTATGAAACAATGCCCAGCATTTGGAAAACAATGTTACAGATGTTTAAAACAAAACCATTTTGGTAGATGTGTAAAGCCTCCAACTTGTCAAATAAAGGAAAAAATAAGTTTTAAAAAATCTACAGACAACCATTCACGTTCAGCATCGCCATCATCTAGATCGTCAATTCATGCAGTTGAGGAAAATATAAACAGCTTTTTCATTGGTGAATTTGCCCTGCAAATCAAGAAAATTGTTGGTGGAAAGAACTATATCTAAATGGCATGAAAGTCAGATGCAAATTAGACACAGGTGCTGAAGTCAACGTCATCCCAAAAACAGTTTTTGAACAACTTCCTAAAAGACCAAAGCTAACAAAGACTAACACAGTTTTTAAACCTCATGGCAGTGAAAAACTTCAGCCTCTAGGATCATCGTTTGTTGAAACAATAATTAAGGGTTTAAAAACGTTTTTAGAATTTTATATCATTAATAGCAATGCCCCAACACTGATAGGACTGCCATCATGCAGCAAACTAAATTTTCTACACAGAGTTGATACCATAAAAATTAGTGTAGAAAAAAGAACATCAGCACAGATACTTGATGAATTTTCTGATGTGTTCAAAGGACTTGGTTGTCTCTCTGGAGAGCATCACATTACAGTAGACCCATCAGTACAACCAGTACCGCCAAGACGGGTACCACTAGCGTTACAGCCAAAACTCAAGCAGAAGTTAGATAGTTTGTTAAAAAATGGAATAATAGAAAAAAAAGATGAGTCAACATATTGGGTAAACAACTTGCTTATTGTCAAAAAGAAAGATGGATCATTAAGATTATGCCTCGATTCTAGAAATCTCAACAAGGCAATAAAAAGAGAACATTTTGTAAAACCAACTTGTGAAGATATAATGCCAAAACTTCATGGAAAAAAGTTTTTCACCATTGTCGACATGAAAGATGGTCTTGGCAGATCAAATTAGACACTGAAAGTACTCGCCTCTGCACCTTTAATACACCCTTTGGAAGATTCTCATTTCGTAAACTTCCATTTGGAATATCATCAGCTCCCGAAGTGTTTCAGAAGAGAAGTATTGAAATTTTTGGAGACATTGATGGTGTTCTCATAGTATTTGATGACTTAATCATTGCAGCTAGTAATAAAACAGAACATGACCAGATACTCAAAAAAGTACTTGAAAGGGCTAGAAAATTCAATGTTCGCTTCAATAGTAAGAAACTACAAATTAAAGTTTTCAGTGTTAAATACCTAGTTCATAGAATCTCAAAGGAAGGTGTGGCTCTTGATGACAACAAAATCAACGCTATCCTAGCCTTGCCGACACCACATGATAAAAAGAGTCTTCAGCGTTTTCATGGTCACATACATGTCTAAGTTTATACCACATTTCTCCACACTTACTGATCCTCTGCGACAGTTGCTGAAACAAAATAGTGAATGGATGTGGAACAACCAACATACCAAAGCTTTTGAGCAACTAAAGAAATCTATTACAACAACTCCTGAGTTAAAATTTTTTGATGCTAAGACGCAAGCATGCATCCAAACAGACGCTTGGAATCGGAAACAAACAGGAATCGGGTCAGTACTGTTACAAAATAAACAACCTATAGCTTATGCATCTCGAGCATTGAGTGAAACTGAAAAAAAATATGCTCAGATAGAAAAAGAACTCTTGGCAGTTGTATTTGCGTGAGAAAAGTTTTCTCAGTACATTTATGGAGCAAAAACACTTGTGTATACTGACCACAAACCACTCGAAAATACATTATCAAAGTCTCTGAACCAAACTTCTCTAAGATTACAACGAATGTTAAGACTATTAAAGTTCAACATAGAATTGAAATACATACCTGGAAGCAAGATGCTCATAGCTGATGCTCTTTCAAGGGCCTTTCTTAAGCACAGTGATGCAGCAGATTTGGAAATGCAGGAAAACATTGAAGTCATGGTACATACCATACTCAATGATTTTTCAACTAGCTTCAACAAGCATGAGCAATTTATATTGGAAACACACAAAGATCCACATCTTTCGAAACTACAGTCGTGGATAAGAAATGGTTTCCTTGTGAATATGAAAGAATTGAGTTGAAATTCTTTCAGAAAATTGCATCTTACATTTATGAGCTTGATGGACTTTTATTTTATGAAAGAAAACTCTTCGTTCTAAAATCTTTGAAAAAAGAAATGTTATTTTTGTTACATGAAGGTCATCTCGGAATAGACAAAACCAAAGCCATGCCACGCTCTTGTTTATACTGGCCTGGTTTGTCTCGTGAAATTGAGGAAATGGTTGAAAGATGTTCAGTTTTCAATACACACCATAGAAAACAACAACCAGAGCCATTACTTTTACATAAAATCCCTCAGAAACTTTGGGCTAAAATTGGAGTTGACATTTTTCAATTTGCAGGTAAAGATTACCTCCTGGTTGTAGACTATTTCTCAAAGTTTCCAAAAATTGCCCTTTTAGGAACAAAAACATTAGATTCAGTCATATTACAACTGAAAGCAATATTTGCCAGGCATGGAATGCCTGAAGAAATGATAGCAGACAGCATGCCATTTTCTAGCAACCAGATTGCACAGGTTTGCAAATGATTGGCACTTTAAGATAACAACATCCAGTTCAAGATCATTTTCCACCATTAGAGGCAACACAGCCACAAAGGTTGGAATCCCCAATTCATCCTCAGTGCAACAGTTCAACAGGTGACACCACACAGTCTTCCCACGAATCCATCCTGAGGACACGGAGTAGTCGTTCATCAAAACTCCCTGTTAGATTCAAGGGCTATGTTCTTAATTAAATATATGTATTAAATAAAAACAATAAAATTGAACTTTTAAAAAGGGAGATGTGACATTTGTATCTTTATATATTTAGTATCTTATGGACGAAAATTAAAAAAACGGAGATATCATAACGCACATTTGAGTTGAATTAAATTTATATTAAATAAAACATATAAAACATCACACAGACAAGATTCTTTTAAATCAGAATTGGACAACTTGGTTAAATGTTTGTCTGGAGTCATTAAGTGGATGCAAAACAATAGTTCAAAACTAAACCAAAACAAGATTTTTTTTACCAATCGGAACATGGCAGCAACTCTCAAGAATAGACATAGATTCAATAACTGTTAATGATGAGGTCATCCCATTTTCTCAGACAGCAGCTAATCTGGGCTTTATAATTGATTCAGGTTTGTCAATGAAACAACACATTAAGAAGCTCTCAGCCGAATGCATGTTTCAAATCAGGAAAATCAATCAAATTCGATGATCCCTAGATGCGTCCACGTTACAGACGTTGGTTCATGCATTTGTGCACTCACGCGTCGACTATTGCAACAGTTTGTTTTATGACTTACCAATTCATTCTGTTTAGTTAACATGTTCTAAATATTATTTCGTATTTTCGTTATATTGAATCGATTACTTTTTCTGTTCATGACCAAATTTTAATCTTATTTCAGTAAAATGCATTATGATTTCTCGTTTGTTATCTCAATAATGTTGCTAAGTTCAGTTTTTGTTAGATAGCGCTTTTGAGATTCGTTTAATTAGCGCTTCATAGATGTTTCAATAATAATAATAAATAATAATATATGTATATATGGATGATATTTATTGTTTTCATTAATTCTGCAGAGTAACAGTACACCTCTAGCGACTAAAATGTGTTTTGTAAATTACCTAAAAACACTTTAGTGCGCATTGTTATCTACTGATTCACGTGTCTTTATACGCTCTGTGTTTATTGTAATAATCCCTGATGATGAATACATATCTAAAAGATAATAAATACATGTAATTGTAATTTGTATCTAATTATTTTTATTTAATTATATATAAATATATATATATATGGGTTTCTAAAGGAGCCAACGTTTTCGATATAGATTGGGAACAGCAACTTGACATTTTAGATATATATATATTGGTATTGAGGATGAACACAATTTTATTGTTATCTGAGAATTTTTGTTACCAAGTACGCCTGAGTATCTCGATGGTTTAATTTTATAACAGTCCAATTTGATTTTTTTTTAAATTTTTTGAATATCTGTTTTTTTGATATTGCAGCAGCGTATGGCGGATAGACTAGATACTTTTCGTTTTTCAGGGGACTCGGTAGCCCGAGTTAAAATACCAACTTAATAGATATACCCTCTTAGTAGATAACATAGTAAACAAATGGTTTTTTAGGCAATTTACAAAAACACATCCTGCCGAATAGATAAAATAGTGTGTTGATTTGTTTCACAAGTACTTGTCTCCTACGTGCGTTGCTACGCATTTTAAAATCAATACAAATATTCAGCTGCCATAGTACGTGCATATTAGACATAAGTTTTTCAAACCAATAAAAACAAAGAACGTGAGTTATCAGATACTAAAGAAGGTTTTTTTATTTCCATGACCGACATATCGGGCTACTGATGAGTTTTTTAAGAGACGAATCGCGTTTAGACTAAAACGTAGAACGAGTTAGATTTTTTTACATTGCAGTTTTGGTCGTAGTGAGAGATGAAATACATTATATACTCTTGCGTGAGCGTGCAAGATAAGTTTTGTTAAAACCAAGTGTATCGGGATCAGGTCTATTGAGTTCAAGTATTTCTTAAAAATCAGACTGACAGACCAAAAGATAAATTGATTTGAATAAACTAGAATAGAAAATGAGTACAAAAAATTGACATAAAACAAAAAAAACCATTTAAAAAATTATATTGTTTGAACAAATTAAAAATTCGTATTTTCAAATTTTTTTATAACTTTTTTACAACGATTTTGGCAAGTATATCAAAATTATATAGTATCGCAAGTAAAATGATTTTGATTTTTTGTTTAATATTAAGTTAATTGTTTTAAATTGATATAAATTTATACGTTTTGAAAAATATTTTTTGTCTGGGTTTTTATACTTTTTGTAGCCGGCTCTAAGACATTTGCCTCATCTGTCAAATGACACAATGATTGTTTACAAGATTTCGGATTTGACTTTTGATGATGATTTCAGCAAGTATTCAATTTATTTATTAGCTATAAATTTCAATAGATAATGTTTACTATAAATTTAAGATAATTTCTTTATATATAATAAATATAAACATATATATATATATATATATATATATATATATATATATATATGTTTATATAGAGAGAGGGCAGTGATGACATACACTGTCGAAACGACGTCGTCAGCCGTTTGAATTGCTTGACGAGTTTTATAAAAATGAGTGACAACAAGTGCGTGTTATTGAACACACCCCAAAAAAAATTATTTTATACAAAATGGGCGCGAGCATTCACCCAAATATATATATATATATATATATATATATATATATATATATATATATATATATAGAGCATCTGGGCACATACACAACATATCAATTTGAACACCGAAGATATAGGAATACCGAAAAAAGTTTTTTTTGTTCTACCATGCATAAAATAAACAAAAATTTTCAATTTAAATTTTTTTTTAAATTTTTAAACAACAATTCCAATTTTGCGTTGTCCCTATTCTTCGTGCCAATAAATTTAGAAACAGAGGAATCATCGATAATGAAAACACGTTAAGTGTTATATTTAACGATAATGAAAACACATAATAGTGTTATATTTATCGATAATGAAAACACATAAAAGTGTTATATATATATATATATATATATATATATATATATATATATATATATATATATATATATATGTTATCGTTATTGTGTTGTCCACCGTAACGGCGAGGACGTTGCCTCGATATCAAGTGACATTCGGCTTTCTGTGAGATCGTAGATGACTTTTTAATCCGAAATCTGATGCACATAATTTACCACAATGGGGGCATCAAGGACCAGTTGGTTTCAATTCTCTTGATGTTGCTGCAAGACGTATAAGTCGACGCCTGTTTCATTCCAGCATAAAACTTGCGAGACCAGCTTTACAAATTTTCCTCCATGTAAACCGATCTTTTGCTATATTTTCAAGTTCAGCCAAGTTAATCTGAAGTACGCTTTTCACTTGATCTACAAATTGCTTTTTTGACCGACCGACTGAACGACAGCCATTTGATAGTTCGCTATATAACAATCTACGAGGTAGACGAGACTCCGCCATACGAATAATATGACCTGTAACAATAGATATTTGGCCGGTGTAGTACATGCAACCCTAAACATATCTGTAAGCAGTATTTTGTACCACCATCTTATTCCAAGAATTCTGCAAAGACAGCGAATGTGGAAAGCCTCGAAGGCTTTGGTGTGTCGACGATAAGGAGTTTAAGATTCACAACCGTAAAGCAGTGCAGAAATGCAAACAGCTTTGTACACAGCAATTTTTGTCACCACGATAAGATTGTGATTTGAAAAAACGCGACTCCTCAGCCTGCCAAATGCAACCGACGGACCCTAATGCGATGATCAATTTCACGATCCAGACAGCAGTCAGTACTAAGCATACTACCAAGATACATGAATTCATGCGAATTATTGAGAGCATCTACATAAACCACAAAAGGTGTAGCTGGTTTGTTTTGATTTGTAGCTAGGGAGAGTATTTCGGTTTTTGCAGTGTTGACAACAATTCCTGCACGACTATTGGCATACGACAAAACATTAAGACTATTTTGGAGAGCGGAGAAATGTTGTTGGCTGAAATGACAGCAGCGTAAGCGTACTGGAATTTGAATATTCTGGTTCTGTTCACAACATTATGCAGCCGCTGACCTAGACGAAAACCACCATATATGTATATTTCTGCGGGAATGTCGTCTGGTCATGCTGTTTTGTTATTTTTCATTTTCTTAGCGGCTGACAAAACTTCATCGAGTACATGATTCTTTCCATGAAAGATGAAGACTGGGTGAGTCTGGATTGCTGAACCTATTTTTATAGGCTTTGTTTTTTGTTTGCAAAAAATCAAGAATGCCAGGTCAATTTTTATCAAACCAGTCCTGATGCTTTATTGCGGAAAACCCAAAAACCTCCTTAGCTTTTGACAGTATGCAGGAGCTGATTAATGACCATTCATCGGTCACTGAAGGTACACCAGTAGGTAGCTGAGATACAATGGACAGCTCAGTTTATTGTGTATGTTTAAAAAATTCTTCCTGAAGTTTTTCCCGCGCTCTCAGATTTTGGCAAGCTCTAATGTTCAGCTTTTTATCTGGATCCGGATCCTGTCTACGAGTTGGTGGGGTAAGTATAATTGCAAATTTGGATACGACAAAAGAATGATGATCAGTCCAACACTCTGCGCCTCTCATAACTCGTTATGATATAGTCCAAAAGATGCCAGTGCTTAAACCGTTAATGCATCCAGGTAGCCTTTCTTTAATTACGCGGCTGGGAAAGGGTGTTGGCAATAACTAATCCAACTTCCGCACAAAAATTGAATAGTCTGATTCCGTTACTGTTTGCGCTTTCCAGACCATGTCTGCCAACAATTTTTTGCAAACGGAATGCACATGAGCAAAAGTCTTTCGCTAACCCCGACTGGGATCTCAGTAAAGTTTTTGAGTAAGTTTGTACGGACAGCAAAACTAACATAATGAATCCGCGGATCATTGCCTGATAAACCTCTCCAAAAGAATGTGTATCCTGCCTCCACTTCAACCAGAAATCTGTCGTCCAGCAGACAAGTTTCAGGCAGAGCAATTTTGTTGATATCTGCCTAGCTCGAGGGCAATAAGAGCGGTGCCCCGCGCAGGTCGTTCCGTAATAGTTTGGTCTAAAAGCGTTCGAACGTTCCATGTCGCAAATCCAGGTCCATGAGTCAATTTTTATTTTTGACCGCTAAGGAAGATGTCCAATGAATGCGGCTACCCATTTGAGAAAAGATGGAAACGAGCAATTTTCAGGCTACCTTTTCTAGACTCTTCCTCGTTTGAGTTGATAGTGTGAGTCTTAAATAGGGTTGTTCAGTCACCCTGGAAGCTGCCGAAGAGATTTGTCATTCCCTTTTCTAAATCTCAGCGACCATCACTTCAAAACCGCTTGCGTGCAGCACACAGGCTGGAGGTTTCTATTTCCATCTTGAATCTACCTCCGTCACCTGTGCAACCATTGCCGCAGGTCTTTAAAAAGTCTCATGCCACCGGTAATAGCGCGCAAAATAGACGCAGAAGAATTTTAACGTGGAGGGAAGTCGCTAAAGCCCTCGGTCTACAAAACTTTGTTACAGCCATCTGAACTCAGTGGCATGGACAGTCTCCAAGACGACTAGAGAAGACTGCAACTACAGAGGTCAACCGGTTGATTCTAAATGATAAATGCCGCCTGACGCGTGATCTCAACGCGAGTTTGCGATCAGAGTTTTCTTTCTCCTAGACGATGTGCTATCCCTAGCTTCGAGCTCTATCTACCCGGGTTTTGTTATTGGAAAATGCCTTCTCCGGGTTTTGAAATCAGAGTTAACCTTTTTCTAGGTAGTTTGGCAGCGGGTGCTGTCAACCTGGGTCATCTGGTTTAAGCGCTAAGGACTCGCTATCGTCTCTTTTGCGACGAAGACGCCAGCAGCTAAACTTTAAGGGCAGAGCCTGTGTCAGAAGGGCATTTTCCAGGATTTATAACTGAACAATGCAATGCAGCCTCTGGGACCCATGCTCCATTTTCCCTACAATATAATTTTCATTCTATCGCTATAATATTTTTCATTGATTTTAATTTCTTTATTTTTCAAATAATATATTGTAATTTATTATTTAGTTTATTAATTAATAAATTATTATTATAATTAATATAATTATTATTATAATTAATTTATTTATTAATTATAAAAACTAAAAACATTAAAATATTGTAATTACAGCATAAAAGATTTTTTTGACAAAATTTCCATCATCAGTGTTATAATTTGAAATAAATTATGCATTTAATTTTAAATTTGGAGAGTGTGGATACCGTAATAACCAACATATCGGAATGACTACAACTACTCTGGGACACAGATTAAAAACGCACAAACAAAATGGTGCTATAAAAAAAACTCTTAATGGATAATCATTATCAAATAATTGATTGTGTTAAATATAATATTAACATTTGTATTTCAAATTGTATATAATTATTATTTATATATAATCAATCAATCAATCATCGTTTAGCGTCCAGAGACCCAGTTCTCCCGAAGTAGGACGTTGTTTTCTTTGCCATCAATTTTTGCGCCAAATTAGGCAATCAGTGTATCCATTTCATTTAAATTTAGTGCTTTCATGTCTTGCTCGATTGTTTGCAACCAGGACTTTTGG